GTGTCCCCAGTGTCACCAGCACCCCCACCAGTGTCCCCAGTCTGTCCCCAGTCTGTCCCCAGTGTCCCCAGTGTGTCCCAAATGTCCCCAGCGTGTCCCCACCAGTGTCCCCAGTCTGTCCCCAGTGTGTCCCCAGCATGTCCCCAGTGTCCCCAGTGTCCCCAGTGTCCCCAGTCTGTCCCCAGTGTCCCCAGCATGTCCCCAGTGTCCCCAGTGTCCACAGTGTCACCAGTGTCCCCAGTCTGTCCCCAGTGTCCCCAGTCTGTGCCCAGCTTGTCCCCAATGTCCCCAGTGTGTCCGCCATGTCCCCACCGGTGTCCCCGCCAGTGTCCCCAGTCTGTCCCCAGCGTGTCCCCAGTGTCCCCAGTCTGTCCCCACCAGTGTCCCCAGTGTCCCCAGCACCCCCACCAGTGTCCCCAGTCTGTCCCCAGTGTGTCCCCAATGTCCCCAGTCTGTCCCCAGTGTGTCCCCAGTCTGTCCCCAGTCTGTCCCCAGTGTCCCCAGTCTGTCCCCAGTGTCCCCGCCGTGTCCCCACCAGTGTCCCCACCGTGTCCCCGCCGTGTCCCCGGCGCCGCCGCTCACCACGCCGTTGACGCCGCGCCGCGGGCCCGTCTTGGGGACCACCACCAGGTAGGTGACGATGCCCTTGTCCCTCAGGTAGTCACAGCGGGAGCCGCCCTCGCCCGGCTCCACCTCGAACTCGCCCTTCAGGCAGTCCACGGTGCTCTGCGAGACGTGCACGCGCCTGCCGCGCCCGCGCCGCCGTCACCGCGCCGTCCCCGTCCCCGCGGCGGCGCCGGGGCGGCGGGGTCGGCGGCTCACCCGGGGATGCCGCCCGCCTCCATCTTGTTGGCCACGGTGACGTCGGTGGACCAGACGTCGTACTGCCAGCGCTTCTGGCCCAGCACGCCGCCCAGCACCGCGCCGCTGTGCACGCCCACGCGCATGTCCACCGCCGTGCGCGTCCGCTCCCGCACCGAGCTGCGCCGCCGCAACGCCGCGGGTGGGCGCGGGGACGGGCACCGGGAATGGGAATGGCCATTGGGAGTGGGAATGGCCATTGGGAGTGGCCATTGGGAATGGGAATGGCCATTGGGAATGGGAATCGCCATTGGGAATGGGAATGGTCATTGGGAATGGGAATGGCCATTGGGAATGGGAATGGTCATTGGGAATGGGAATGGCCATTGGGAGTGGGAATGGTCATTGGGAATGGGAATGGCCATTGGGAATGGTCATTGGGAATGGGAATGGTCATTTGGAATGGGAATGGTCATTGGGAATGGGAATGGCCATTGGGAGTGGCCATTGGGAATGGGAATGGTCATTGGGAATGGGAATGGTCATTGGGAATGGGAATGGCCATTGGGA